CACTTTCTCATTATGAAAACAGCGATGGTGAGATTCAAATGGTGAGATTAATGCTACCACTATTCATCGCTCTATTATGTGTGCCTGCGTCAGCCACATAGGCTACAGAAAAATCGCCATGCATCCAATCTATTTAATCAGGCAATGTCCACATTATTCTCTCATATTTTAGAATGTAATAATAATTGTCATATCAATGCATTGGTAAGGCCTAAAGAATGCACTATTCTTAGTGGTAATAGGCTACTTTTTTGACCATTTTTGCATGCTTTTTGGGAGGGGGGTTCTATATTAGGCCCTATATGTTCAATTATGTAAATTATACAATTGTATGACATTGAGGCCCTTGAAAATTACAATTAAGTGCTTGGAAAAGGTCCCTGAAATCCCTTGAATTTGATTTGCCAATGTCTGTATGAACCCTGCTTAAAGGATGTATAGTCCTAGGCCTATGTTGTTGTATAGGTGGAGTTATGGGAATTTGCATATATTCACTTTTATTCCTCTAAGTACACATATGGAACTGCATGAAAGTCCTTATTTTTGTTTCAAACTATGTTGATCTCAATGTCACACATTGGCCCCATTTATTTATAGAAAGACCCAATAGACCGTGAGATGCATCAAGTGAAAACAATCAGGCGGACCAGTCCTGCTAACCAGCCTCACGGATTCTGTTTGCCCTGTGAAAGGAGATCCAGACGCAGCAGAAAAATCACTCCAGCTCAGCTTAGAGCACTCGTTTCTCTCTCTCTCTCCTCCCCCCTCCTCTTCTCCTCTTTCCTCTAATGAAATCTGTCCATTTTGCCGACTAATTGGACAAATGCATTGCATTGCTGTTTCAATGCGAGGCTCCTTTAAAAGGATTTGCTATGCACACATCGCCGTATCCTTGGGGGCCCGTGTCCTCCGGCTCAGCGTTTAAAAGATGGATTCAACCTCATTTGAGTCTCAAGGTCCGGAGACTATCTTAACTTCCCTTCCTTAGGATTTTACCCTCCATTGAAGAAGAGGTATTTACTTTGGTAGTAAGCATCTTTTACACCTTTTACAGTAACGGTACTGTATGTGTCTCGTCCACATAATTAATCTGCGTCAGCAGTTTGTTAATGATACAAAATAGACTATTCTTGGATTATTAATGGCTTGATTTATTTTTACCCCCTTTTTCTCCCCAATTTCGATCTTTTCTCATCACTGCAACTCCCCAATGGCCTCGGGAGGCGAAGGTCAAGTCATACACCCTCCGAAACATGACCCGCCAAACCTTGCTTCTTAACACCTGCCCGCTTAACCCGGAAGCCAGCCGTACCAATGTGTCGGAGGAAACACTGTTCTCTTGACGACCGAGGTCAGCCTGCAGTTGCCCACCACAAGGAGTCACTAGAGTGCGATGAGCCAAGTAAACCCCTCCCCTAACCCGGACGACGCTGGTACAATTGTGCGCCGCCCTATGGGACTCCCGATACAGACCGGGATCGAAGCAGGGTCTGTAGTGATGCCTCTAGCACCTTAGACCGCTGCGCCACTCGGGAGGCAATGGCTTGATTTTTGAGGTCAGATACAGACCTCTCTATATTGTCAGGTCATTGTAAGCATTCTAAGCTTTTACAATGCTCTCCACTCATAATATGAATCACAGATCTGTAGGAATCCAAATGGTAAAATGGAACACCACAGTATAAGTCAATGTACTTTTAAAAATCAGTTGAATTCAAGAACTGTCCTTGACAGATGTGCATGTGAAAAGCAGGTGCATGTGAGTCAAACCTGTTCAATCCCTCAGGCAGAGTGTCACAGTCGTAGTTCCCCTTTGAAACCAGGAAATTACACGGAAGTCCTCGATTATATCATTACGGGCCAGAACTGAACAGAACCTATCATTTTCATTTTCTCGGTGATCATGAGGGAGGAAGTTGGCCAGGGGACTGGTTCATGATGGTACAGTCGCAGTCTTCTCTGTGTCCTTTGGCAGCACATGGCAGCCATGTTTGCTTTTTTTCAGACCCACGGCTCCCAGGGAGTTTGGCAGGAGAGGAGAGCAGGAAAAAACGCAGTGTTCAAAGTCATGGCCAAACTCGCTCTCACTCTCTCTTCTGCACGCTCTCGCTCTCCCCTCCTCTGTTCCTACTCTCCCTCTCTCTCTGTCACTCTCTCCCTCCCCATCTACCCACCCTACCTTCTCTCCCAGTATCTCTCTGCTACACTGTCAACCTTTGCCCACTCTCCTCCTCTCCCCCTTCTCTCTGTCACTCTCTCTCCTTTTCCATTCTATCTCTGCCTGTCCCTCTCTCTGTCTCTGAAATTCATCCTGTCTCCTCTTCCCTGGCATCCCTGGCGAAATAGAGGTGGGGAAAATCACCGTCAGAGTTAGAAGCAGGCTTATCGCCTCATCTGTTTTCCAGACCATTATGTCTGGCTCTAGATGAAGCCTGATTTACACACCAGACCACACCTGTGTGTGGCCGGGTAGCATACAGTGCATTTGGAAAGTATTCAGACCCATTGACTTTTCCCACATTTTGTTACGTTAAAGCCTTATTCTAAAATCGATTAAATAAAGAATGTTCCTCATCAATTTACACACAATACCACATAATGTCACAGCAAAAACAGGTTTTTAGAAATGTTTGCAAATGTATACAATAAAAAAGATACCTTATTTACATAAGTATTCAGACCCAGACACTCTAAATTATTGAGCTCAGGTGCATCCTGTTTCCATTTATCATCCTTGAGATGTTTCTACAACTTGATTGGAGTCCACCTGTGGTAAATTCAATTGATTGGACATGATTTGGAAAGGCACACACCTGTCTGTTTAAGGTCCCACAGTTGACAGTGCATGTCAGAGAAAAAACCAAGCCATCAGGTTGAAGGAATTGTCCGTAGAGCTCCGAGACAGGATTGTGTCGAGGCACAGATCTGGGGAAGGATACCAAAACAATTCTGCAACATTGAAGGTCCCCAAGAACACAGTGGCCTCCATCGTTCTTAAATGGAAGAAGTCCTGGTGGTTCCAAACTCTTCCTAGTGCTGGCCGCCCGGCCAAACTGAGCAATCGGGGGAGAAGGGCCTGGTCTGGGAGGTGACCAAGAACCCGATGGTCACTCTGACAGAGCTCCAGAGTTCCTCTGTGGAGATGGGAGAACCTTCCAGAAGGACAACCATCTCTGCAGTACTCCACCAATCAGGCCTTTATGGTAGAGTGGCCAGACGGAAGCCACTCCTCAGTAAAAGGCACATAACAGACCTCTTGGAGTTTGCCAAAAGGCACCTAAAGGACTCTCAGACCATGAGAAACAAGATTCTCTGGTCTAATGAAACCAAGATTGAACTCTTTGGCCTGAATGCCAAGCGTCACGTCTGGTGGAAACCTGGCACCATTCCTACGGTGAAGCACGGTGGTGGCAGCATCATGCTGTGGGGATGTTTTTCAGCGACAGGGACTGGGAGAGACTAGTCAGGATCGAGGGAAAGGTGAACGGAGAAAAGTACAGAGAGATCCTTGATGAAAACCTGCTCCAGAGCGCTCAGGACCTCAGTCTGGGGCGAAGGTTCACCTTCCAACAGGACAACGACCCTAAGCACACAACCAAGACAACGCATGAGTGGCTTCGGGACAAGTCTCTGAATGTCCTTGAGTGAATGTCCAGCCAGAGCCCGGATTTGAACCTGATCGAACATCTCTGGAGAGACCTGAAAATAGCTGTGCAGCGACGCTCCCCATCCAACCTGTTAGAGCTAGAAAAGATCTGCAGAGAAGAATGGGAGAAACTCTCCAAATACAAGTGTGCCAAGCTTGTAGCGTCATACCCAAGAAGACTCAAGGCTGTAATCGCTGCCAAAGGTGCTTCAACAAAGTACTGAGTAAATGGTCTTAATACTTATGTAAATGTATTAACCTGTTTGCTTTGTCATTATGGGGTATTGTGTGTAGATTGATGAGGGGGAAAAAAGCAATTTAATCCATTTTAGAATAAGGCTGTAACGTAACAAAATGTGGAAAAAGTCAAATGCACTGTATACTGCAGACAACATGTACTGATGTTTTTTTATATATATATATATATACATGTACTGATGTTTGTACAGATAGTTAGAATGATGTAGATATACTGTACCTTTTTCTATAATGCCACATGTATGTATACAATGTAAAGGGTTGGCTATATTATTGAAAACATGCAGGTAGCTAACATGACTTAGGCATCTTGGCATGTCTGTGTATACAGCTATATCCAGTGCTGCTAACAACACATGCCAGTAGCTGACTGTGTGCGGTATGTTTGCCACATCAATGATTTATACTTCCATATATTTCGTCTCTGTCTGTACAATGGGTGCTGTGTAAAGCACAAAAGGCCATTGTATCCAAAACCAAGTTTGCTGGGTTTGAACTGTTTATATTTTTGTGGGCCAGGGTTCAAACTAATGTTCCTTTCCACGCTGTTCCTGGCAGAGCAAGCTCTCTCCCTCTGACACACACACATACACACACCCAACATGAATGCACACACACACACCTAGGGCCTAAACTGCTGTAGCGTTGTGAAGCGATATCAACATTAACAACAGCATATGTATTTTGTACACTAGCTGCGAGCATAATGCTGACAAATCCAAGCTTGCATACAAATTCATTGCAAGACCTGGAAAGCCTTTCCATGAGTTCTCTGATGCTTAATATAGAGTGAGAGAAGAAGCCTGTCAGCAGTGGAGCGACTCAAGTACCCTGTTGTCACTGCATCATCACTGTCACAAAATTCCTGCCTTTGCCCACTGCACTGAAGAGATCAGATGGATCCTCACATTGTCTCAAACTGGAGCAAGAAGTGGGTTAAGTAGCAACAAACTGAGTCCTTTGCAGGTGTGTGTGTTCTCAGCAGGTCTGGGTCCATGAACCTCAGCCTATGTGTCTGTGTGTCCCATATAATGAAATAGAACACAGTCACATTAAAATAGTGATATAATGTATCTCTATGGTGTGTTCTCCCCAGGTGCGGGAGCTGCAGACGCGTCTCCAGAGCTCCCAGCCTGCAGGCCCGTCCAGCCCTGGGCGTCTCACCCCCGCCTCCCGCCCCATCAATCCCAGCACTGGGGAACTCAGCACCAGCAGCAGCAGTAACGATATACCTGTGGCCAGGGTAGAATGCACACACACACAAACACACACACACACTATGTTATGCATAGTAAGGTACAAAACACATGCATATTATGAATGCCGAAGTACTGGAATAATGGAGTAATGGAATTGGAGAAATGGAATGTCGTACATTCATATGAGGCACACACACACACACACACACACACACACACACACACACACACACACTCTCTCTGTAGGGATATTCTGAACTCTCCTCTGGAATTTTCTCCATCTCTCTTTTCTCTCTTATTGTACTGTGTACTATCACTTGAATGACACAAACACACTCATGCATGCACACACACTAATCTGTGTCCTAGCCTTGGGCTAATCCAGCCGGAGAGGGACAGTTGTAATCAAAAGGGTCAGTGAGATCAACCATTTGCTCTTCCACTTTCCTGTGTGTGTATGTGTGTCCTTGACATTGACCCTCAGAGGGAATACAATACATTAGAGTTTGATTCCATAGAGATCCAGGACAATACCTATATTTATTTGTATTTATTTATTTTAGGGGTCCAAGCACTTTTTGTCAGTAATTCCCAGGAATGTATTGAGTGTGTTGTCTTGTTGCTAGGTGGCAGAGCGGGTGAAGCTGTCTAAAACCAGGTCAGAGTCTTCCTCTACCGAAAGGCCTGTTCTGGGATCAGAGATCAGCAGCATCGGGGTAAGGAGATACTGGATGCCTATTCAATACTGAAGGCTTTGAAAGGGAGAGGGAGAGGGGGAAGATGCAAAGGGATTTAAAGAAAGGAAGAAAGGAAAGTAAGAAAGAGAGAGCGGGAGAGAGAGTGGTGGACAGAAATAGTATGAGAGAGCGACAGTAGGTAGGGGCACATTTCCCTGTAGCAGCTGGCTGATGATAACAGCAGCATCAGCAGATGTGTCAGAGATGGGTATCTCCAGTGGGGTGTGACAGACCTGGTGTCACTCATACCCCACTGCTCCCTTCCCCTGGCACCCACACAGCCTTGTTGACACTAAAGGTGACCTGCCAACATCCCCTCGAACAGTTATCAGGTGACCTGCCCTCTTTTCTCTAGTGCCTCCCTCCCTCCCTCCCTCTCTTTTTCTCTCTCCCTCGTAACATGATTCCAGGGCTTGTCTTTTCCCTGAAAGCTCCGGCCACCAAAATTCTCCTCTCAATCTTTAGCCGGAACCCATCTGGTCCAAAATAGACTAAAAAGAGAGGGAGAGGGAAGAGAGAGAAAGAGAGGCAAACTGTTAGTATTCCTCTGGGACTAGGCTGCGACGGATTATGTAAAGTTCAATAGAAAACCTGTCTCTCTCTGTATACAATCTCTCAAAAAAGAGATTTGATCTCAAGGAGACTAACCTGTATAAGTAAAGATTATAAACACTATCTGGCATAGTGATATAATGGCGCCGGAGAAGATGGCTGCCGTTTTACAGCCCTCTAACCAATTGTACTATTATGTGTGTTTTTCCGCGTTATTTGTAATTTATTTTATACATAATGTTTCTGCCATCGTCTCTTATAACCAAAAAGAGCTTCTGGATATCAGGACAGCGATTACTCACCTCATATTGGACGAAGATTTTTTCTTCAACGAGGCGGCCGCGAAGGATATCCTACATATATACTGCCGCTCCCATCAATCCTATTAGCCAATCTTCAATCATTTGAGAATGAATTGGATGACCTAAGATTACGGTTATCCTACCAACGGGACATTAAAAACTGTAATATCTTATGTTTCACCGAGTCGTGGCTGAACGACGACATGGACAACATACAGCTAGCGGGCTATACGCTACATCGGCAGGATAGAACGGCTAACTCCGGTAAGACAAGGGGTGGCGGTCTGTGTATATTTGTAAACAACAGCTGGTGCACAAAATCAAATACTAAGGAAGTCTCGAGGTTTTGCTCGCCTGAGGTAGAGTATCTTATGATAAGCTGTAGACCACACTATTTACCAAGAGAGTTTTCATCTATATTTTTCATAGCTGTCTATTTACCACCACAAACCAATGCTGGCATTAAGATTGCACTGAATGAGCTGTATAAGGCCATAAGTCAACAGGAAAATGCTCATCCAGAGGCAGCGCTCCTAGTGGCCGGGGACTTTAATGCAGGGAATCTTAAATCCGTTCTACCTAATTTCTACCAGCATGTTAAATGTGCAACCAGAGGAAAAAAAATACTCTAGACCACCTTTACTCCACACACAGAGACGCATACAAAGCTCTCCCTCGCCCTCCATTTGGCAAATCTGACCAAATTCCTGCTTATAAGCAAAAACTAAAGCAGGAAGCACCAGTGACTCGGTTAATAAAAAAGTGGTCAGATGACGCAGATGCTAAGCTACAGGACTGTTTTGCTAGCACAGACTGGAACATGTTCCGGGATTCTTCAGATAGCATTGAGGAGTACACCACATCAGTCACTGGCTTCATCAATAAGTGCATCGATGATGTTGTCCCCAGAGTGACCGTACATACATACCCCAACCAGAAGCCATGGATTACAGGAAACATCCGCACTGAGCTAAAGGGTAGAGCTGCCGCTTTCAAGGAGCGGGACTCTAACCCGGACGCTTATAAGAAATCCCGCTATGCCCTCCGAACAATCAAACAGGCAAAGAGTCAATACAGGACTAAGATTGAATCGTACTACACCGGCTCTGACGCTCGTCGGATGTGGCAGGGCTTGAAAACTATTACAGACTACAAAGGGAAGCACAGCCGCGAGCTGCCCAGTGATACAAGACTTCCAGACGAGCTAAACCACTTCTATGCTCGATTCGAGGCAAGCAACACTGAAGCATGCATGAGAGCACCAGCTGTTCCGGATGACTATGTGATCACGCTCTCCGTAGCCGATGTGAGTAAGACTTTTAAGCAGGTCAACATTCACAAGGCCGTAGGGCCAGATGGATTACCAGGACGTGTACTCCGAGCATGTGCTGACCAACTGGCAAGTGTCTTCACTGACATTTTCAACATGTCCCTGACTGAGTCTGTAATACCAACATGTTTCAAGCAGACCACCATAGTCCCCGTGCCCAAGGACTCTAAGATAACCTGCCTAAATGACTACCGACCCGTAGCACTGACGTCTGTAGCCATGAAGTGCTTTGAAAGGCTGGTCATGGCTCACATCAACACCATTATCCCAGAAACCCTAGACCCACTCCAATTTGCATACCGCCCCAACAGATCCACAGATGATGCAATCTCTATTGCACTCCACACTGCCCTTTCCCACCTGGACAAGAGGAACACCTACGTGAGAATGCTATTCATTGACTACAGCTCAGCATTCAACACCATAGTGCCCTCAAAGCTCATCACTAAACTAAGGATCCTGGGACTAAACACCTCCCTCTGCAACTGGATCCTGGACTTCCTGACGGGCCGCCCCCAGGTGGTAAGGGTAGGTAACAACACATCTGCCACACTGATCCTCAACACGGGGGCCCCTCAGGGGTGCGTGCTCAGTCCCCTCCTGTACTCCCTGTTCACCCATGACTGCATGGCCAGGCACGACTCCAACACCATCATTAAGTTTGCTGACGACACAACAGTGGTAGGCCTGATCACCGACAACGATGATACAGCCTATAGGGAGGAGGTCAGAGACCTGGCCGTGTGGTGCCAGGATAACAACCTCTCCCTCAACGTGACCAAGACAAAGGAGATGATTGTGGACTACAGGAAAAAAAAGAGGACTGAGCACGCCCCCATTCTCGTCGACGGGGCTGTAGTGGAACAGGTTGAGAGCTTCAAGTTCCTTGGTGTCCACATCACCAACGAACTATCATGGTCCAAACACACCAAGACAGTCGTGAAGAGGGCACGACAAAGCCTATTCCCCCTCAGGAGACTGAAAAGATTGCAGGGTCCTCAGATCCTCAAAAAATTCTACAGCTGCACCATCGAGAGCATCCTGACTGGTTGCATCACCGCCTGGTATGGCAACTGCTTGGCCTCCGACGCAAGGCACTACAGAGTGTAGTGCGTACGGCCCAGTACATCACTGGGGCCAAGCTTCCTGCCATCCAGGACCTCTATACCAGGCGGTGTCAGAGGAAGGCCCTCAAAATTGTCAAAGACTCCAGCCACCCTAGTCATAGACTGTTCTCTCTGCTACCGCATGACAAGCGGTACCGGAGTGCCAAGTCTAGGTCCAAAAGACTTCTCAACAGCTTCTACCCCCAAGCCATAAGACTCCTGAACAGCTAATCATGGCTACCCAGACTATTTGCACTGCCACCCCACCCCATCTTTTTACGCTGCTGCTACTCTGTTAATTATTTATGCATAGTCACTTTAACTCTACCCACATGTACATATTACTTCAACTACCTCAACTAGCCGGTGCCCCCACACATTGACTCTGCACCGGTACCCCCCTGTATATATAGCCTCCCTACTGTTATTTTATTTTACTTCTGCTCTTTTTTTCTCAACACTTTTTTGTGGTTTTATTCTACTTTTTTATTAAAAATAAATGCACTGTTGATTAAGGGCTGTAAGTAAGCATTTCACTGTAATGTCTGCACCTGTTGTATTCGGCGCATGTGGCCAATAAAATTTGATTTGATTTGTATACACTGTGGATTAAGAGAGTAGAGGATCACAAAGAAATGCCCTCAGTCAGTCTCACTCACTGAATTCCTATTGTGTCGTTTTTACATTGTGATTTTTGGCTGCACCTTGACTCACACTGGTTGAAGCGCTGTCTACTCCCTCCTCGCCTTGTTTTTACCCCCCATTTATTCTTAACACAAAAGTAGTGCACTTTATATGGTATAAGATACCATTTGGGACTGGGAGGCAACCTTAGGTCAATGTAAATGTCTGTCTTACCCCCATGTAACCCTGTTCCTCCTACTCCCAGGTGTCCAGTAACGTGGCGGAACACCTGGCCCACTCCCTTCAGGACTGCTCCAACATCCAGGAGATCTTCCAGACCCTCTACTCCCATGGATCAGCCATCTCTGAGAACAAGATCAGGGAGTTTGAAGTGGAGACAGAGAGACTAAACAGGTGATACTCAAACCATGCTGTCATTGTCCTTATTATGTCATTATCATTTTTTTATCCATTTGTCGGTCCATCCATGCCTAAGTAATACTGATCCATGTTAAAGTGGAATTGACAGCATTTTAGCAACATGGAAACTTATTAAAATCTGTTCATATATACCCCCAGGAAGAATAAAACAGCTTCTTTTACATTTTCTGACAAGCGAGCACTTAGATATGGTCATTTTCATTTTTTCATAAATTCATAGAATGTTTGGGAATGACGAATAGAAAGGCATTTGTGAAATGTATATAGCAATATAGAGTGGGAAAGCGGCCGTGCGTTTGGACAATTAATAGACACTGCAGTAAATAAAACCTAATAAAAACATTTGTCTTGTCCAGGACCGGAGTCTACGCAGACCGGTGCGCCATAGCCAATCAGAGCTACAGTAGGTCTATATGCTAATAAGCCATTTGCCACAATGGCAGTGTTGCCTACAATATTTAGCAAGTTTTCAGACCTCTCCAGCGACTTTTATTGGTAAAAGATTCTAACGACAAATTCAGCTACTTACATGGGCCTGCCATCATTCACTTTGAGCTGGACTGTGTGTTTACAGGCAGTAGCAACAGCACAACTTTAGATAATTAGAAAGCATTTGCGAAAAGCCACATATTTCTGCAAATATGTAAATACCACGGGAGTCGTCTTACATTTGGGAACTTTGATCAAACAACAGTCTTATTGATGAAACAACCGTGAAAATGTAGTCTCTCTCCTTCAGTTGCCTATGCACATCAACAATAACAAGATCAATAACTAATGTTAGCCAGAGCGAGATGAGCTAAAATCTACAGAGGGAACAGAAGGTGAACCCTCTCAATCTTTTTCAGCTTGTAGTTGGCCGTCAAAATTGCACTGCTAAAAGATGGGGAATAGTAACCTGCTCGCCCTTCTGCAGCTTGCCTGCCAAAGTGCGGTGTAGTTAGCTGTATGTTAAAGATTCAGACTTTGCGCGTTAATACCTCTTCAACGGAACGTACAAGAATTATATAAATTACATATTCTGAATCAGCTGACAATGGCGGACAAGTTGCGCCCCTTTATAGGCTACATGTGCACCACCAAGTCATAACAGTAGGCTAAGTTCTGAGGGGGAAAGGGACCAAATAATTAGGGTGAGGCACATGGGCTACTAACAGATTACTACACAACATACACCTATTACTTTCTTAGTTACAGTATACATATCTCCCTGGCATATTACATCATTTATGCAGCAGCTTTTAAGAAATTTTTGGACTCACCTTGTTGTGCTCACTTGAACAGTAAGGTGGCGCGGCGGGCCTTCTTGTGGGCAAATTCTATCATCAAACTTTGTCATCAAAGTCTGGCATTCTCTGGATTTATCATGCTTTCAAGACAACTGGGAACTCTGAAAAAAACAAGGTTGAATCATGACGTCAGTGAATCATGACGCTTTAGAAAGAGGCCTGAGTTCCCGACATGGATGACCGCTCAAAACGAATTTTCCCAGTCGGAGCTCGTTTTTTTCCCAGAGTTCCGAGTTGTCTTGAACTCACTGAAGTCTGAGTTCCGAGTTTCCAGTTGTTTTGAACGCGGCAGAAGTCATGCTGGATTGACAGCATGGCCAATGTATTCAACCTTTTCTGGCCCATGGTGTTGCGTGTGAATGTTTATCCTTTTAAGCTTGGAAAAGAGACCCTTTCAGACAGATGTTTTAAATCCTTAAACCCAGACTTTGACCACACACCCTCTTCACCGAATAGCAGGCAGGGGAAGCAAAATAGTGGTTGCTTTGCAACGCTTGCAATTAGCCACTGATTCCTTCCAAACCACTCATTGTTGAATTTGCGATTTCCGACTTGTTGTGTAAGGTTTATGTCCAATGGAAGATGAGCACCGATGCGTTTTATCTATAATTTCTCTTCATATAAAAATGATTTGCCAGTAGATTGTCGACGTGATTCATGATGATGACTGCTTGTCTAGCTTGCTAGATAAGATTTTGGAAGTATGATATTGACATGATCAGTCCAATCAAAGCTACGGTGTGTATATAACATGATATTACGTCATTTTATCTGTGGCCAATGACCTTGAGCCTTCTTGGATGGGCACTTCTAATGTAAATCTATGGCATCACCCAGGGGGCTTGAACTGCCTAGCTCTCCCTGTAGATTCTGTGGTGAAGTAGTGTCCCCATGAGTGACAGAACACTGAGCCAATCACGGCGCAACTAGAGAAGATTACCAACGCCTACGCTCTGTATTTTCCGATGGCTACCCCTCCACCACAGAAAGCACTGAGCTAGGCTGAAACACCTGCATTTTGGAGCTGCCTTACTCAAGAAAGCAAGAAAGAGACCATGCTTGTATGCGGCTTTATTCACGCAATAAATGTGTTTTTACATTGTTTGCATACTGTTATGTGACTCTGCCCCACCTGCCCTGAATGACGGGTCGCCACTGCTTAAAGGGATAGTTCACCTTAAAATCCAACCATTTTCATACCTCAGAATTGGTGTAATGGAGTCAATCAAAAATTAATGGGAAATATGGGCACCTGATAACCTGTGACAACTTTGAAACTTAGATTTTGGGGTGTGCTATCCCTTTAAGGTTATTTGGCACGTGTTTTATGGTATATCCCATACGTTTACCACAAACAAACAGGCTGCTGACACACACTATTTTCTCTTAATTAAGCCCAGAGTGCTTTATTGACGTCCTTGATTAGATGGATAGTTACGCGTCATTAGCTACTCGCACATAATCTACCCATAAAACCAAGGCCATTTGAGTTCTATAGAGGGGGGTGGCTATAGTTTCCCTGTCCCTTTGTCCCCTAACACTCACTTGTACTGCAATAGCTGATGTGTGATGAGCGACCTGGCACAAAATGGATGCCGTGAATTACCCAGGTGGGTGCTTTAAATCGCTGATGGATGGGTGAGTTGCAATGTGAGGTGCTTTGAGATATGACAGGCACTTTATACAGTAAATATAGCCTGATGATGATAACGACTGTGTGTGTGTGTGTGTTCCAGCCGCATCGAGCATCTGAAGTCTCAGAATGACCTGCTGACCATCACGTTGGAGGAGTGTAAGGGCAACGCAGAGAGGATGAGCATGCTTGTGGGCAAATACGAATCTAATGCCACCGCCCTGCGACTGGCACTGCAGTACAGGTATACACACACACACACAGCAATGCCTAACCTAATGGAGCATGCAACATACATAACACACATTTGCGCACTCCTACTACGATTCACGCGCCAGCCAGAAAGAAACACGCCAACCGGGTGAAAGCCTGAATGCAAATTCCCCCCTCCACTCTTAATACCAAGCCTACTCTGAGCCTTGCATAGCTAACAAACACCTTATCAAGCTGTAAACGTCAGAGCCACGCTAATGTTCCCTCGTTAGAAGCCTCCTCCGGTAATTATAATTAAGCTGTTCTCTCCGAGGTCAGGGCCTTTTGTAGGTTCCATACGGTAGCTGCCATTTGCATCTCATTAGCATTCGCATCCCCTTGGCCAATCAAGTGTGTTTGTGTGCGGGCCTTGGCCCCTCTCTGATAAGGTGCCCTGAAGGTGCCCATTCAGCAAAGCTAACGAGATACGAAAGGAAAAACAGATCCAATCTAAGTGGTCTTTCTAATTATCATCATGCTAATCATCCAACCATGATAATCCTGTGGGGATGTTATGAGTTGCAGAAAGGTTGTTAACCCTTTTCTTATATGGCAAAATTTAAGCAAACTGAAATGGAAATAAGTTGTATTTTCAGCTGTTGAAATTGGCTGAATGTAATGTTGTGGGGGCATGGTATGGTAACGTTACGTGTGTTTCTCATAGCATTCTGCCATAGCATGTGTCAGGGAGACGGATTGCCTCAACGATAAGCTATGAGCAGATGAGTAAACAGATACAAAGATAGACGACAGATACATAAATAAAAACGTTATAGCCATAAAAGAGAATTATTAGTCTTGCCCATTACACCAGAGTACACAACACTTGAATAGCCCTCAAATGCTTATTAATATAACACCAGTTCCAACACACAAACACACACTAAGATTCATACTGTGTGTTTTTCCCTGTATGATTTATTCATAAAGCCATTGATTTAATGTGATGTGGGGGACTGTAGTGTGTTTCTACCTGGGGAGAGAGAGGGTTTGGCCATCTGTGTCTGGTTTGTTGTTCACTAGAAGCCCAGATGTCAGTGATTTGATTGAATTTCAGTCCCGCCAAGTGAGATGTCAACGAGGCCACCCCATTGGGCCATTTGGGTAGAGATAGACTTTCATTGGATTGGGGAGTGTGGTGTGTAGGGTTGCAAAGCTACCGGAATCTTTTGTAACTTTGGTAATTTATACTTGAATAACTTTTTAAAATCCCAGAAATGTTCCATACGCACAAAATGTTGTGCACAAATTTGGTTACGTCCCTGTTGAGCATTTCTCCTTTGCCAAGATAATCCATCCACCTGACAGGTGTGGCATATCAAGAAGCTGATTAAACAGTATGATCATTACACAGGTGCACCTTGTGCTGGGGACAATAAAAGGCCACTCTAAAATGTGCAGTTTTGTCACACAACACAATGCCACATAAACTCAGCAAAAAAAGAAACGTCCTCTCACTGTCAACTGCGTTTATTTGCAGAAAACTTAACATGTGTAAAAATGTGAATGAACATAACAAGATTCAACAACTGAGACATAAACTGAACAAGTTCCACAGACATGTGACTAACATAAATTGAATAATGTGTCCCTGAACAAAGGGGGGGTCAAAATCAAAAGTAACCGTCAGTATCTGGTGTGGCAACCAGCTGCATTAAGTACTGCAGTGCATCTCCTCCTCATGGACTGCACCAGATTTGCCAGTTCTTGCTGTGAGATGTTACCCCACTCTTCCACCAAGGCACCTGCAGGTTCCCGGACATTTCTGGGGGGAATGGCCCTAGCCCTCACCCTCCGATCCAACAGGTCCCAGACGTGCTCAATGGGATTGAGATCAGGGCTCTTCGCTGGCCATGGCAGAACACTGACATTCCGGTCTTGCAGGAAATCACGCCCAGAACGAGCAGTATGGCTGTAGGGATTGTCATGCTGGAGGCTCATGTCAGGATGAGCCTGCAGGAAGGGTACCACATGTGGGAGGAGGATGTCTTCCCTGTAATGCACAGCATTGAGATTGCCTGCAATAACAACAAACTCAGTCCAATGATGCTGTGACACACCGCCTCAGACCATGACGGACCCTCCACCTCCAAATCGATCCCGCTCCAGAGTACAGGCCTCGGTGTAACGCTCATTCCTTCGACGATAAACACGAATCTGACCACCACCCCTGGTGAGACAAAACCGCGACTCGTCAGTGAAGAGCACTTTTTGCCAGTCCTGTCTGGTCCAGCGACGGTGAGTTTGTGCCCATAGGCGACGTTGTTGCCGGCGATGTCTGCCTTACAACAGGCCTACAAGCCCTCAGTCCAGCCTCTCTCAGCCTATTGCGGACAGTCTGAGCACTGATGGAGGGATTGTGCGTTCCTGGTGTAACTCGGACAGTTGTTGTTGCCATCCTGTACCTGTCCCGCAGGTGTGATGTTGGGATGTACCGATCCTGTGCAGGTGTTGTTACACGTGGTCTGCCACTGCGAGGACGATCAGCTGTCCGTCCTGTCTCCCTGTAGCGCTGTCTTAGGCGTCTCACAGGACGGACATTGCAATTTATTGCAATGGCCACATCTGCAGTCATCATGCCTCCTTGCAGCATGCCTAAGGCATGTTCACACAGATGAGCAGGGACCCTGGGCATCTTTCTTTTGGTGTTTTTCAGAGTCAGTAGAAAGGCCTCTTTAGTGTCCTAAGTATTCATAACTGTGACCTTAATTGCCTACCGTCTGTAAGCTGTTAGTGTCTTAACGACCATTCCACAGGTGCATGTTCATTAATTGTTTATGGTTTATTGAACAAGCATGGGAAACAGTGTTTAAACCCTTTACAATGAAGATCTGTGAAGTTATTTGGATTTTTACGTATCTTTGAAAAAAAAATTTTTGCTGAGTTTGTCTGAAGTTTTTAGGGAGCGTGCAATTGGCATGCTCACCGCAGGAATGTCCACCAAATGTCCAGTTCTTCCATGGCCTGCATACTCACCAGACATGACACCCATTGAACATGTTTGGGATGCTCTGGATCGACGTGTACGACAGCGTGTACCAGTTCCCGCCAATATCCAGCAACTTCGCACAGCCATTGAAAAGGAGTGGGACAACATTCAACAGCCTGATCAACTCTATGCGAAGGAGATCTGCATGAGGCAAATGGTGGTCACACCAGATACTGACTGGTTTTCTGATCCACACCCCTACCTTTTTTTTAAGGCATCGGTGACCAACAGATGCATATCTGTATTCCCAGTCATGTGAAATCCATAGATTAGGGCTTAATGAATGTATTTAAATTGACTGATTTCCTTATATGAGCAGTAACTCAGTAAAATCTTTGAAATTGTTGCATGTGGCTTTTATATTTTTGTTCAGTATATTTTACATGTGATAAGGCCACACAGAGAGACAGAGATTATCACAGACACTTGTGATCGCTCTGGATAAGAGCGTCTGCTAAATGACGTAAATGTAATGTAAATGTGATAATCTGAAGTACCCAAAAGGGCCACTAGATGTCTTGTGATAGATTACATAAAATCCTTGAAAGATACCACAATTCTGGTAGTTTACTGGTAAACTTTTCCCTAGCGGTGTGTGTGGGTGCATCTTATATGTGGTGGAAGAATCTCCAAGGAGCTTTCTCCTCTCTCTCTCTCTCTCTCTCTCTCTCTCTCTCTCTCCTCTCTCTCTCTCTCTCTCTCTCTCTCTCTCTCCTCTCTCTCTCTCTCTCTCTCTCTCTCTCTCTCTCTCTCTGTGTATGTATGTATGTCTGTCTGTCTGTGAGTCTGTCTGTCTGTCTGTGAGTCTGTCTGTCTGTGTGAGTCTGTGAGAGTGTTGGACTCTGTATGTATTTAAAAAGCAGTGTGGCGCCAAGCTAGTACGCGGTGGTATTAATCAGCCGTCTGGAAAGCAGTGTAATGTTATAAAGAATCAAGAGGGGGTTTGGAGCACGACGAGTGTGTGTTTTTCTGTGTGTGTGTGTGTGTGTGTGCGTGCATGGCTTTCTTTTTTATATGATCTATGCCAGTGTGTGCGTGTGATTAAAACTATAATCATAAGTATGAAACATCAAAGAGAGGAACACTATGGTGTATTCTGATGATGCTGACTACCTTTATGGTGTTTTTGCAGGCAGAAACTTGCTGTGTATGTATTTGCGTTCTTGAGAGAGTGACTAACTCATAGTGTTGGCGTGAGCTATTAAAGTGTGTAAAAGTATCCACAGGAGTTGTTTTGGTACGGCTGAACTAGCAGGGGACTGGAGTCGAGGTTGTGTGTGTGGATGTGTGTGTGTGTGTGTGTGTGTGTGTGTGTGTGTGTGTGTGTGTGTGTGTGTGTGTGTGTGTGTGTGTGTAAATGAGAAACGTGTTTTTAAATCAGATCTGCCCCTCTAGCGTCATCTATCAAAACACACACATACACACACACACACAACAAATAAAGAGAGACTAGCTATGTGGACAAAATAACTTAGAGATGTTAAATGTGTAAATTGAATGTAGGCTTCAGACTTCCTCTAATACTTAATTAATTACCCTAGCTCTCGCTGTATTTGTTTGGAGCAAAGGTGGCTTTTTTCCCTGATGTGTAATCATTGCCTGATTAAACGATAGTGCCTCGCTGTTTTTCTTCCATCTCCGGGCCCCAGGCAAACACACATGTGCACGCACGCGCTATGATGACTGTAGTTAAATAGACATCAGCACCTCTCGGCTGCGTTCCTTTTGAACACTTGATGAAAGTGCAGCACAGAGGAAGGATAAGTGGACGCGAGAGGCCTCTGCATTCCTCCAGTGTGTGTTTGTGTGTGTGAGAAAGAGAAAGCGGGAGAGAGAGCTTATGTGCGTTCTCATTTAGTATTGCAAATAGGTTTAGCTGACGTGTTTATTTGTGTCCTCTGTCAGTCAGTGTATAGAGGCCTATGAGCTACTTTATATGTGTGTGTTTGTTAACTGTTATGTGTGTGTGTTCTTTTCTCAGTGAACAGTGTATAGAGGCCTATGAGCTGCTGTTAGCCCTGGCGGAGAGTGAACAGAGTCTAGTACTTGGCCAGTTCAGAGCTGCTGGAGTGGGGACTGTAGGTGAGTCACACACTCTTCGTGCCCACACAGGCTTGTTTGTTCTTTGATCAGTGTTGGCTTGTTCCTCCCTGCATTAAGAGATCCACAGTTGAACTCCAACCAATCAAAGCAAAGAGGCCACCTCCCAAAAACACACTTCTAATCTATTACTCTTTCACAAACTGCTCCACTCTCACCCATTTCATTCCTTCACAAACCTCTCCTCTATCACTCCTTCTCTTCCCTGTTCACTTCACTCCCATCACAAACGTTCATATCCCCCTCATATGTTTCCCTCCTCTCTCTCTCCTTCAGCTGTTGACAGGTGTCATGTCTTCAGTGAGGCATGTCATGCATCATGACTCCCTTGTCTCACACACTTCCCCTACTCCCAACCTAACCATTTCCCCTTCAACACAAAAACACTCTCTTAGAAGAACATCCCCTTAGGGTAAACCCATTTTAATTGAATCACTTTTTGACGGCACACCTTTTTATTTGAACGAAGCCTTCCATACATATTTGCCCATTGTAGAAGTGCTCAGTAAGTTACTTTGTGGACCTGAATGCCAAACTATTCAAGAGATAAAGGTGCTCAAAGTTGACCCATTTTGCATACCCCACATACCATGAGACATTCATGTCTTCATCACTGGAAAATATAAACTGTTGAGATTTGATATAATTTAAAAGCTTACAAACAAAGTTGTCAAACAACTTTTTTTTTTTGGAGAATAAATAAATAAATCAAATGTTTGAAAATGTCAGATTTTGTCATTGATGGGCGCCTAAATTGGAACGCAGAGCTCAGGTTCTCTCCGCTTCACAGTGCTATATCGGTTTTGACTGACAGCCGTTATAAACTTGAGCACCGTGCGCGACAAGAAGCCCCCATCCCTCCTGCTAATTAGGCTACTTTTGCACAATTGTTGTTGTCTGAGTTAGGAAAATACTGTAAATTGAGAGGAGTTGATGTGTTCTGAAAGATGAGACGTTAAGGATTATATTAAATACCGCTTTGATGTCATACAAGCAAACCACACACCCATGAGTCCAAATGTGCACTTCACATTTCCATATTTGAAAACTCATATGCCCGAGTGGCGCAGTGGTCTAAGGCACTGCATCGCAGTGCTAGCTGTGCCACTAGAGATCCTGGTTCGAATCCAGGCTCTGTCGTAGCCGGCCACGACCGGGAGACCCATGGGGCGGCGCACAATTGGCCCAGCGTCGTCCAGGGTAGGGGAGGGAATGGCCAGCAGGGATGTAGCTCAGTTGGTAGAGCATGGTGTTTGCAACGCCAGGGTTGTGGGTTCGATTCCCATGGGGGGCCAGTATGAAAAAATTAAATTAAAATAATAATAATGTAAGTCGCTCTGGATAAGAGCGTCTGCTAAATGACTAAAATGTAAAATAGTTCTTCTGTTGGAAACATTTCAATTTGGCCCTATCCATATGCTAATTATCTAAAAGCGCATAAACTCTTGATTTTCATATTTACATATGTTGTAGCTTAGATCCTATTTTACATCATCTAAGGTTTTTGTGATGTGCCCGCCATCAGTTGAAACACAACATGCTCTTGAATACAGAGTGGGGTGTCATATTTTGGCTGATAAATGTACTAAAATGGGAATACATTTGAAATGTCAGCTTTCAAATGGTACCACAAAGATGGTTGCAGGTCCACACATCAGAGAATGCTGACTTGAATGGGAAAATCTGTCGTTTTAAATTATACTTTCAATCCTCCATAGGAAAGAAATATAGATAATAAAATAGACAACCATTTGATGGTGGGTGAACCGGCAGTCATCTTTGTGGTAGTAATTAGAAGTTACAATTTCCATTCAATTAAAATGTCAATGGTGTACCAGCTAAATTGCAGTGGTCTGATGGGATAGGCCCATTCTATCATTTCTATTTCTACGATTGAAATGACACCCACCCTGCATTCAAGAGTATGAAAAATGTATGCACTCACTAACTGTAAGTCGCTCTGGATAAGAGCGTCTGCTAAATGACTAAAATGTCAATGTAAGAGCGTGTTTTGTTTCAACCGATGGCGGGCACAGCACAAAAACCTCAGATGGTGTGAAATAGGGTCTAAGTTACAACATATGCAAATATGGGGAAAAAACAGAGTTTATGCGTTTTTGGCAGCAGGCATCCTAGCGGTTAGAGCATTGGGCCAATTGGGCCATTAACCGAAAGGTTGTTGGTTCGAATACCCGAGCCGACTGAAAATCTGTCTGTGCCCTTGAGCAAGTCACTTAACCCTAATTTGCTCCAGGGGCGCCGTACTACTATAGCTGACCCTGTAAAACAAGACATTTCACTACACCTATCCGGTGTTTGTGACAATACAATTATTTGTTTATATATCTTTTTGGGATAATTGACATTAAATGCTAAAAAATGACAATTTTTTGTTAACTTTTTTTCATGAAATAATAAAGTACTGTAGTTTGACAACACTGTTTGTAAGCTTTTAAATGATATAAAACTAAACTGTTTATCTTTTGCAATGATGAAGGCATGGATGTCTCATGGTATGGTGGAGTATGCAAAATGGGTCAACTTTGAGCACCTTTATCTCCTGAATTATTTGGGATTCAGGTCCAAAACATCACTTTCTGACCATTTCTTCCATGGACAAAAGTGTATGGAAAGTGTTTAAATCAAAAGGGATGCTGTATAAAAGTGATTTAATTTAAATGGATGTACCCCTTATTCATCTAATGCTGACCAACTTTACATACAGTATTTATAGCCTTTTGTAGCCATATGTACATTGTCAGTTTGAATACATTTACATTTACATTTTAGTCATTTAGCAGACGCTCTTATCCAGAGCGACTTACAGGAGCAATTAGGGTTAAGTGCCTTGCTCAGGGGCACATCGACAGATTTTTCACCTAGTCGGCTCGGGGATTAGAACCAGCGACCTTTCGGTTACTGGCACAACGCTCTTACCCACTAAGCTACCTGCCGCCATACTCCATTCAATCATTCTGTTCATATCCCTGGCAATTAAAATGACTCCAGCAAATACAAGTTATTTGACGGTTCTCTCCGTACTGTGTGTGTGTGTGTAGGTGAGCAGTCGGGAGAGGAGAGCATCACTCAGATCTTGAAGAGGGCCCACGACTGCAGGAAAACAGCAGAGAACGCAGCCAGGGATCTGCTGGGCAGGCTAGACGGTAGCTGTGGAGCGGAATTCGCTGTGACAGGCTGCAGCGTTCAACCATGGGAGAGCCTGTCCTCCAATAGTCACACCAGGTGAGTGTGTGTTTGTACTTGTTTGAGAATGTCTGCACATTGGTAAATATCCCATGTGCAATACGTGTTTAATTCACCAATACATTCCTGTTTATTTTCTATGAGAATCTTTCTAGTTCATTACTTATATGGCAATCCATCCCCTAAATATTCTGTATTGAAACATAATTGAGGCCAACCCTCTGCTCACGTTCCCATGACAGTTCATGCCAGGAAGCTGCTCCCTAAACAAAGCATTAATCTACAGCCACTGCTCCGGGAAAGAGAATACTTGACATTCATATGTGGCTCACATGTTAGTCAGGAGCACAGCAGACAATTGACAATTAAAGTAGGAGATGAGAGTCCACAGTGCTGTGCTGTGGCACCAGTACACTCTAAGGGACCGTCCCTATGCTGGATCCACATCATTGATCACACGAACGCGCACAGCAGGGAATCACACACTGGCTTTTTAATCATAGACACAAATTCATAATGAAATCTTTCTCTCTCTCTTTCTCTCCCTCCATCCCTCCCTCACACATGTACGCACACACAGACATAGAGTGCATTCGGAAAGTATTCAGACCCTGCAACCTTATTCTAAAATGGATGAAATAAAAACATTTCCTCGTCAATCTACACACAATACCCCATAATGACAAAGCAAAAACAGGTTTTTATAATTTTTTGCAAATGTATTACAAATAAAAAACAGATACCTTATTTACATAAGTATTCAGACCCTTTGCTATGAGACTCGAAATTGAGCTCAGGTGCATCCTGTTTCTACAACTTGATTGTAGTCCACCTGTGGTAAATTCAATTTGGAAAGGCACACACCTGTCTATATAAGGTCCCACAGTTGTCAGAGCAAAAACCAAGCCATGAGGTCGAAGGAATTGTCCGTAGAGCTCCGAGACAGGATTGTGTCGAGGCACAGATCTGGGGAAGGGTACCGAAAACTTTCTGCAGCATTGAAGGTCCCTAACAACATAGTGGCCTCCATCATTCTTAAATGGAAGACGTTTGGAACCACCAAGACTCTTCCTAGACTGAGCAATCGGGGGAGAAGGGCCTTGGTCAGGGAGGTGACCAAGAACCCGATGGTCACTCTGACAGAGCTCCAGAGTTCCTCTGTGGAGATAGCGTCATACCCAAGAAGACTCTAGGCTGTAATCCCTGCCAAAGGTGCTTCAACAAAGTACTGCATAAAGGATATGAATACTTATGTAAATGTGATATAAAATAAAAATACATTTTCAAAAATGTCTAAAAACCGGTTTTTGCTCTGTCATTATGGGGTATTGATGTGGAAAAAAACAATTTAATCAATTTTAGAATAATGTTGGAATGTAAAAAAAATTGGAAAAAGTCAAGGTGTCTGAATACTTTCCGCATGCACTGTATCTGCATAGACACATCTTTCTTAGTTAACAGATTTGAGGCTGATTGACATTAATAAAGAGTTGTTATACAATCATGTGTCCAACCAGGTTACTATAGTTTGGTATCAAAGTCTTTGGCTGGATTTCTACACAGTGTTTGGTGACTTAATTTCTCCCTGTGTCAGACTTGCTTTGGCTAGAATCTGCCCACAAGGCACAGATCTAGGAACAGTTTAGCCTCTCTAATCCTGATCTTAACTGTTCAGGGGGAAATAAAGGCTAGTTTCTAGATGCTACAGCTATCATCCAACGATACTATCTCTCATCTCTACCGGTATGTGTTTGTTCGTAGCACCACCAGTTCAACGGCCAGCTCGTGCGACACAGACTTCTCCAGGGAGGATGAGCAGCGGCTGAAGGACTACGTGCAGCAGCTGAAGAATGACCGTGCGGCGGTCAAGCTGACCATGCTGGAGCTGGAGAGCGTTCACGTCGACCCTCTAAGCCTGGAGGTCAAGCCCCGGGGAGACACACACAGGTTGGACCTGGAGAACGCTGTGCTGATGCAGGAGCTCATGGCCATGAAGGTGAGAGAGAGAGAGAGAGAGAGAGAGAGGAGAGAGAGAGGAGAGAAGAGAGAGATAGAGAGAGAGAAGAGAGAGAGATATAGAGAGAGAGAGAGAAGGGGGGAAAAAAAAATTTTTTTAAACCAAGGGGGTTTTTTCTTTGGGGGGGGGAAAAAAAAAAAAAAATTAGAAAATTTTAAAATTAAAGTCGGGTGTTTAAATATTTGCTCAGTATCTCAAACCCTTTTTTCTTTTTTTTGGGTGTTGACAATAAGGGGTTTTTTCCCCACAGTTTTTTTTTTGGGGGGGGGGAAGTGGAAAAAAATTTTCCCTTTTTAAAGTTTTTTTTTGGGGGAATTTTTGGAGATCGCCCCGGGCACCACATTTTTCCCCCTTTTAAACCTGTCTTAACTTTCGGGGGAAAAAGGGGGGGAGAGAAAAAAGGGGGAAACAAAAACCCTCCCAGGATGTTTTGCTAGCCCCCCCATTTAAACCCCCCCGTGGACACGATTTCCCCGGGGAAGAGCACGGTGGAAGGGGGAAAAAGGGTCCGGGGGGCAACGACCTCGGAGGGGAGGCTTCCCCCCCCTTCCCCCCGGGGCCCCAGCCCCAACAGGGATGGGACCTTTGATGAAAAGGGCTCATGGCCAAAGGGATAGGGGGAAGGGGGGGGAAAACGGGGAAAAAGAAAAGGAAAAGAAAAAGGTAGAAGAGAAAGGGGGAAAAGGGAAGGGGGAAGGGAAAAAAAAAACCCCCCCCCCCCCGAAATTAAAAAAAAAAAAGGGGAGGGGTTTCCCTCTTCTTCGCCCCTCTTCCCCTTTTCCGCCCCTTTTTTTAAAAACCCCCCCCCCCCCCCCCCTTTTTTTTTTTTTTTTTTAAAAATTTTTGAAAAAAAAAAAAAAAAAAAAAAGGCCATTTTTTTTTAAAAACACACCCCCAATTTTTTAAAAAAAAAATTCCTTTTCCTCCCTCCTTGGGGCCCGTCCTTGAAATTTTGGTTTCCCCCCCCAAAGGCCCTGGATTTTCCCCAAAAAAAAATTAAAACCCCCAAAAATTTTAAAAAAAAGGAAAAAACTTCCCCCAAAAACAATAACTTGCGTCAGAACTGTCCCTGTTTGTCATTAAGACTTGCACACTATTTAGTGTTGTGGTGACATTGATAATTCCATGTTATGCTTTTAGTTGGGATGGCCTTTATTCCGTTATAGGCTGCACATTAACTTGTTTAACCCTTTCTTTCCTTGTGTGTGTTAACCTTTCTATCTCTCCCTCCTCCCCCTCAGGAGGAGATGGCGGAGCTGAAGGCCCAGCTCTACCTGCTGGAGAAGGAGAAGAAGGCGGTGGAGCTGCAGCTGAGCACGCGGGAGGCCCAGGAGCAGGCCTACCTGGTGCACATCGAGCACCTCAAGGCCGAGGTGGAGGAGCAGCAGGAGCAGCGCAGGAGATCCCTCGGCTCCACTGGGAGTGGTAGTAAAGACAAGAGCCAAGCCGCCAAGGTGAGGGGACTACACACACACACACATACAGACACACACACACACATACAGACACACACACATACAGACACACACACACACACATACAGACACACACACATACAGACACACACACAAGCATTCACCTCAACCCCCTAGTGCTAGCAGGGACTAGCTAGTGCCAGGGTGAGGGCGCACCCACATTTACGCCCTCAATTCTCGACCTTGAAGTAGACCTCGTCCACCTCATAGAAAACACCAGCCCTAGCTCCAAACAGGTCTACCACAGAGCCACAGAGCAGGGTTCAGGCTTGTATTGAGATTGAGACTTGTAGACAGACCTTTATAGCCGTGTCTCTCCTGTACACAGCAGCACTCACTCTGACCCAGTCAGTCACATTAAATATTGAAGAGGCTAACTGCTCTCTCTGCTCTCTTTGCAGTCTGTCTCTGTCTGTCTGTCTGTCTCTCGCTCGCTCGTTCTCTTTTGACTATATATATGTCTCTTTCCCCTCTCTGTCTTGTTTCTCGCTTCTACCCCATTCTTCCTCCTCTCCCTCTTCCTCACACCTTGTCAGTCTGTATGTATTTGGCTCCAGGGATGACAGGTGCTTGTTTGAGCCCCCATAGACAACAGTCCTAAAGCTGTGAGGGGCTGTCACTCAGAAAGGTTGGCACACTAGTACCCCCGTTAGTGAGAGTCTCCTCTGTGAGAAAGCAGTCTCTACTCCTAAAATAATTGGTCTTTCTCATTCTGTTGGGGAGCTGTCTGTCTTCACTCTGAGCTGGGGCCCTAGAGACGGGGACACTGTGTGTCTGTGAGAGTCCTACTGTCTACACAGAGTGACAGAAATAAAAAGAGAAGACCTGGAGAGGGAGAGAGGAGAAAGAAATGACTATTGAGAGGGAGGATAAGTAGAAGAATGGGGAGAGGAGAGAGAAGCAGAGGAAGGAAGGCTAACTAAGGTAAAGACAGAGTCCAACTGTACTGTATAAGAGGAGAAGAAAATGGGAGGAGTGGGTGAGAAAGTAGACAAAGGAGTACTTAGAGTCTCACGTGCAATTCTATATCAGAGCGCTAAGCCCCTCACACCATCCCTGCCCTGGTTTCTCTACCCATTTCTTTAATCCAGATAGATAGAGATCAGCTGTCTGTGTGTTGCCAGGATTAAGAAAGGGAGAATACAGGTGTGCTTTTCTCTGATCACAGCCTTGAGCTTCCAATTCTGGTGGCACTACATTAACCTTATAATCCACTGGATACGATAACAGTGCCCTTCCATGTCCCCTGACTGGGACAGGGAATACGTGAACACACACACATGCACTTCACAACTCTAGGCATGTATATACACACAAACCTCTATGTATGCACACACCTCTCCATCTGCATGCACACACACACACACGCACATAACCCTTACAGCTTTACATGCAGACACACATACATACCCTGCCTTAAAGCTTGAGACTCCCCCCCCCCACTCCACCCAGTCCCTGCTATCACCGTAGCTCGTTTGATTCAATAAAGCTTAATCCTCGGTTGCTAGGAGCAACCGGCATTGAAGATGCCAATCACAGGGCCATCTGTAAATGAAAGTGCTTTTCAGATTGAAAGCCAGAGCAGCGGCTATTATTGCCTTTCACCCTCCTCTGTCCTATTCAAACCAGCCACCTTTTATATCTACAGACCACTTCTCATTGTTAGGGTCTAGAAATGGCCTGCTTGATTGGATCTCACACACTGGGAAGACTAATAGGCACATACACCTCCTGCTGTGGGGGAGTGTACATGCACACACTCACTCACACACCCACACCATGTTAGATCATTCCACTCTGTCAGAGCCATTCAACACGCACACAAACACTACAAGCCCAATCAAGCAAAGTTCACACAGCACAAAGGCTATTACCCAGCACACATACACCAACACAACACTAACCAGCATCTCCCAGTATCTTCCCCTCCTCCCTGGTCACTTCCCATATCCATTTCTCCACTACCTTAATGAAAGCCATGTTCCAATATCTATCAACAGCCCTGTAATCAAATCAGGCTAGCAGCATAGCAGGCCGTGAACGTATGACAGCATACCTGTAACTCGATAAGTCATGTAGCATGCTAAATGAATGCTCTGACATGCTTGTCCGTTGTGAATCAGGCTGTATTGTTCTGTAGTCCAGGTGTAGAGCAAATACACTGGGATAATAGGTTGAAGTGGTAGTGCTGCCACCTAATGAACTGGGTGTGCATGTGACAGCTTGAGGTAAATGTTGCGCCTAACCACAGATGTAGGATCAGATTACCCTCTCCAAATCATAACCTCAACCATTATGTTGAGACCTGCAGAGCTGACCTTCGATCACTGTCTTTAGAGGCAACTTCATCCTTCTCTGGCAGGTCTGAGAGGGAATGTCCTGTGGAGTAATCAATGTTTTGGGATTGGTTACATGGGGTTGGTTTATTAATGTGATTAGTTATATAACTGATTATGTAAGGGAGTCTTGAGCTATTTTACTTGTTCTGTTGTGTGTTATGGTATTGAATTAGAGTGATTGAGGCCAATGTTAACTTGATCACTGTAAGTCTTTGATCTGTAGGCAGCCTAATCACCTCAGCCCATCACTTCACCAGGCCTTGTATGAGAATGGTCTATAGTTGCACTGTGTGGTTGTAGACCAGCTCCTCCTCATGGCATTGTTATGTTCCAGGATTGTGGAGACTCTCCGGCCATCAGCTTGTCAGATCTGAGGACACTTAATGACAGCGACCTGTCAGCAGAGCTCACCAACGCACTGAGACGGTAAGAAACCCAACGCACTGTGTGTGTGTGTGTGTGTGTGTGTGTTTTTGGTTTTACTATTCTTGTGGGGACCAGAAGTCCTCACAAGAATAGTAAAACAAGGAAAATTCCAACAAGTGGGGAGATTTCGCCGGTCCCCACAAGGAAAAAAGCTATTTTAGGGGTTAGGGTTAGAATTATGGTTAGGGATTAAGGTTACGGTTAGGTTATTTCCTGTTTGCTAAAATTCTAATAGATCGCCTAATTTCAGTTTATGTGACAAAAAGAAGCAAGTATAGTGTAGAGAATCGTTGTACCATCTAAACCGCTGAAATATATTTTTAAGCTGGTGTACAAAACCGAAAGTAAAAGATGCAAAAATTAAACTTAAGAACAGGAAGCATAGAAATAGCGAATATAGAACAGATCTACCACTTCTTAGACCTGCTTTCAATGAGTGACAGATCTATAACACACATTTCTATGTGCATTTGGTCGGGTTGCCCAAAAAGTTACATATTGCAGCTTTAATGGAAGTGACGACTTTTCTGAAACTATTGGATTGGCTGCCTTCAACTAATGGCAGGGCTGTGTCTGGAACTGCATGTTGAAGATAGAACTATAATGAATAGAGCACACACAATCTCCTATACTATTCCAATATATCTGACGGTCATATTTGATCTACACAATACATTTCTATCTGAACATTTTGTAAATGTCCATTGTCCCAGGTGTACATAATCAAGTCAAACCAATTATATTTTGTACAGATAATGTAGGTATAGATAAGTTGTAATGCTCAACTACTGTATGACTCTTTCTACATGCCGCTGAAAAGGTTGAATGCTGTAATTAATTTTATGATACCTGAAAATACTGCAGAGTAATTCAAATACATTTGCAAACAGCAAGTTGAAGGCTTAGCAAAAAACAAATTTGAACCTCTTTGTCCATCTGAGGGTAAGTGTTCTTGTTTCAAACACACACGATACCATATTTATAGGGATAGCTTACTCAGAATACAAACTAACATGATTTTCCACCTACCTTGGCTATAGTTAATTCAAAAAGGCAGTTTGGGAATATTTAGTTTCCTTTCGACACTTAATAGCCATATTTTGTTACTGTCAGCATTCTCAGTAACACTTAACATTACTGTTCTTGTGCCTGTGTAATAAAACGGTAATTACTTTTGGAGCAACATTTTATTAGCATGTAGTTACATAATACTTTGGTAATTGCATTTTAATTGCATAGCAATAAACTGAGAGTTTTTGTAACTACTGTACACAAAAGGAATAGTTACTTCCTTATTCCACCTGTGTAATAACTCCATTATTATGCAATTGTAAAGCAATTTACAAAGTCCTATGCAACAACAATGTTGCTATTGTAATAATCACAATGTTACTACACATGTATAAGAACTGTGTTACTGTATTAATGTCTCACTCATTATGAAAATATATTTGTTAGTCATTTTGAAGCTTCAAAGTGGTCTACTCTATTGTTGATGTGATTCCATGTCCCTCATGTATTTAATTCTAGGCTATAGGCTATATTAAGATGAATATCTGAGAGTTGTCCAAACCATGTGCTTTTTATACTAGATTTAGACTAATTAAACTAACTGTTGAAGTTTTTGGTTCAGCCATCAAATAAATATGTTTTTGTTTTCAAATAACTTGCATATATTCAAATACCTTCAAATATTATTTGATTTTCTGAGAGGTATTAAAAATACTTTCAAATATTATTTGTTTTTCTGAGACCTGTATTTGAACATAAAATAAAATAGTTGCCTTTTAGTTGAAACCCTACATAAACTATTGTATATTCGACTACCTTGAGTATTTGAAAAGTTGGTATTTTCAAATAAATTACAAAAATACAACTATTTTCTGCCCAGGTCTGGTGTGTGTGTCTTCCTGACTCATCCCATTTGTGTGTGTGTGTCTCAGGGAGAAGAAGCTGAAGGGCCGTGTCCAGGAGTTGGTGGCAGCGCTGGAGAGACTAACCAAGAGCAGCGAGGTCCGCCACCAGCAGAGTGCCGAGTTCGTCAACGACCTTAAACGGGCCAACAGGTAACCATGACAACACTCACAGGAGGGGAGGAAATATGTTTAATGATTCAAAGTGGGAATGTTTATTGTTATTAAGACTTAATTGTGTGTGTGGGAGGGGGGGCTTGTCTATGACTACCCATAGATAAATAATGAAAAGGCCATGGAAAAATCAATACAGTTCAGCTATTTGGATTCAGACCCTTTTTTTTTTTACGGTAGTTGTTTTGCATCGTAATACAGTGTTGCCATTTAGTGGGAAAAGGGGTGAATTGATATAGAACAGCACTATTCTTTATGGATAGCACAAACACAACCCCTCAGCACCTCTGTCTCTGTGACTTAACTCACCAAATCAGAACCAACTGAAGCCAATCCATCTGTCTGTCTGCATTGTCCTGTCTAGCCAACTAAGATAGAAGCTATATATATCCTCTCTAGAGATATAGGGAGAGATATGAGCACTCTATCTAGCTCTCTCGGGTGCTCGAAGACTTCTCTCGCTCTCTCTCTCTCTTCTCTCTCTCTCTCTATCTCTCTCTCTCTTCTCTCTCTCTCTCTCTCTCTCTCTCTCCTCTCTTCTCTTAGTAACCTGGTGGCGGCATATGAGAAGGCCAAGAAGAAGCACCAGGGCAAGCTGAAAAAGCTGGAGGCTCAGATGATGGCCATGGTGGAGCGTCCACGAGACCCAGGTCGCATGTCAAACAACGCATCGCACTGCTGGAGGAGGAGAACTCACGGCCTCACACCAATGAGACCTCCCTATGAGAACTGATGAGATGCCCTAATGAGAACTGATGAGGCGTCCCTATGAGAACTCACCGGACGTCGCTATAGAAACTCACTAGACATTGCTATGGGAACTCACCAGACGTCTCTATGAGAACCTACGAGACGTTGCTATGAGAACTCACCAGACTTCACTATGAGAACTCACAAGAATACATGGCAATGAGAGACATCACTATGAGAACTTGCAGCCACATACTAACATGACGTCGCTATGAGATCTCAGGAGAACTTACTAGGAGAACTCACAGCTCCACACCAACAGGACCTCCGTGTGAGCATTATTATGAGCAACGGTTAGAGGAGGGGACGAGGGAGAGGAAAGACTGGTGTGTGCGTGTGTTGTGAATGTAACCCTTTCCTACCAACCCAGAGATAGCCTGCCGTCCTATTGGGCACATACACGTGTGGGAGGACACTGCGGTGATAGCTGCAAACTCATTGGCCAGCCGATGGACTGGTAGAACTGCCAGGACCTATCAGAGTTGACGCTACAAATGACCGCTATCAATCATCTCTGGAGAACAACACATAATCATAATATACTTTTTTTGAAAGCACTACTATCCTTTCTGGCAAATGATTCACTATTATGTCTCCCACTTTATTTTATATTTAAGCTTTGATATGGTAGCCTTTTTGTTATCTCAAGGTTTGACTGCAAATTATTTTGGAAATATTTTATATCGATGTTGACATTTAAAGTTATTCCATTTTGTTGCCATTTGGAACTATGTTAAGCGATTCCCTTTTAAGGAAACCATTCTCTCAGCTCTACTTACCAACTTCCCAGTTTTCAGTATACAATGTACACTCTGCCATAGTGAAGACTCACTGAACACAAGGGCTCTATTCACTCAAACCTTTCACTGGGTTTGACGTCTGAATATGTCAAAAACATCATTCTTCTTGCACTGTCATTCGAATTGTCACACAGGTAAAAAAATAAAAATATTTGATGTATCCGGCAAGCCTGCTTCCCAGATTGGCATAGGGCCCTAAGTCAATACCTCACAGTGTGCAAAAAAAAATCCTTCCAATATGAATGGCAGTGTTTCAGCATGGGCCTTCAACTGTACAGCAGTGAATCAATCGCAAGATACTATAGTAAGTGTGTGGGCATGGAGGGGAGATAACAATAGGGTTTTAAGTGTGTGTGTGTGAGAAAGTTTGTGGTAGAGATACAAGAGTATGCCTTTGTCATCCCCTTCATGCACACAGATTTGTTGTACACACAAACATCCTCTCCAGCCGCAGCACTTTTCACTTCCCGCTGGATAATATCACCACATTGCCTTGTTGAGGACTCTTTGTTTTTCTGCAAGACTTAAACCCGTACCTCAGTGTTAACCAATGGCTGCTCCACTCTCTCTGGATGAGGGAACCACCTACTATTCTATAGCAATCTGAGATGCTGCAGTCTCTCACTCTACCTGACTGCTGTATTGTTCAACATACGTACTACTGTATCTAGCTACTATAAGTATACTTAAGCAGAGACAGACTGGCACCCTGGTGACACCCATGTTTCTAGAAAACCCTCAGTAGCCTGGTATACAGACATTTTAATTAGGCAGGGGTGGGTCAATTTCATATAAATTCCATCAAATGTATTCATGGAATATTGTCTTTGACAATATTTTGCTTCGATTCATTAACCGAATGTCCTTTTCATTCCCTGAGTTTCAATGTATTGACCCCAGTCCTGCTATTTGGTAAGACCCACAGCATATGAAAGCAAGCACTGGCGTGTAGACTATTAATGTAGTAGTGATGTAATTTCCTCTCAATAAACTGTTATGATTATAATATTACTTATCACGCAAATACCTGTATTCTGTTTCTGTTGCGCATCTCGACCAGACGACACTCAAGTGAATCTGGGGTATACTCCAGTTTAGTGGGTGGTCTCATCTGTTCTGTGAATGAGACAAGAGGGGTTAGAGGGGTGGGAAAAGGGGGGTTGGGGGTAAGGAAGGAGGGTTGGCAAACTAATGACCTTATTTGCACAGATATGTTTTGGAATCAAATCTTGGCAATCATTGTTTTGTTGATTTTAATACAGATTGTATTTGTTTATATAATAAAGTAATAAACCAATTTTAAAGTAAAATGTCAATTGTGTGCTTCTCTGTTTTTCTTATGCTACAATAACCCCTGTCATACAAACAAGCATTGATTCATTCAGAAGACCAAGTCTAAAGTATAATAAAAAGAAAAAGAACGTCTGTCTGTATTAGGAGACTACTCTATTTTTAGTCATGTACAACTTATTTCTGACTTATAGTTATTCTTTGGAACGCTACTCCTCTTACACCGTTTAAGCTAGAAACACCATTTAAACTTAAAAACGTGTAGACTGGTCAGGAACATTTGGATGTCTTTTATACTTTTTAAACTATTAAGGTTTTTGTCCTCCAACCACTTATGGGATTTCTTCAACATTCTAAAGGTCCCATTGTTACAAATTCCCAGACTTCCAACATTCTATTCACAGTAACTTTTGACACATCAGCTACTGTGATCACTTTCCCAACAACTTAGGCAAAAACGTATTAAATCTTCATCTACTTCTCTGATATTGAAATCTGAAATCAGAACCGAATGATCTTCTACCAATTAAGAGGTAAAGCTGTTTTAGAACCGGATCAACTACTTTCATTAAGCCAACTTCCCACTGTTGAATATAACTGGAACTTTGAAAAATGTCAAACAATAGCAATATATAAAAATATCTGGTCTGATTACTTTGATTGAATACTATATCAACCTTATTACTTTGGAATGTGGGCCCCCTTACGAAAAAAGATTGCAGTCAGAGTGCACTCTAACTGCAGTTACACTGCAAGATTACTTCAGTAAAAATAACTTATTTTGGACTCAGTATTTGCACCACACTGCAGTTATACTGCACTCTAACTGCATTTATACTGAAGTGTACTGCAGTTATTGTCACGCTCTGGCTCCGGGACTGTGTTGTTTGAGCCAGGGTGTATTCATTTGGGTGTGTTGGGTATAGGGTGTGTTCATTTGTTGTGTTTGGTTTTGGTTTTGTTTCCGTGTTTGGTCAGTGACTCCCAATCGGAGGTAACGAGTGTCAGCTGTCGGCTCGTTATCTCTGATTGGGAGCCATATTTAGCTGTATGTTTTCCTGTGGGAATGGTGGGTTTTTGTTCCAGGTTCAGTATTTTGTCACTGTTGGACTTCACTATCGTCTTTTGTTTTGTAGTTACGTGCTTTCTTTATTAAAGTCATCATGTTCACTCAACGCGCTGCGTATTGGTCTGCTCCCTTTATAGACGATCGTGACAGAAAAACCCACCATAAGAGGACCAAGCAGCGTGTCAAGCGGCAACAGGACCCAGCTCCAAAGGATTCATGGACATGGGAGGAGATACGGGCTGGAAAGGGTCCTTGGGCACAACCGGGAGAATATCGCCGCCCTCGTGAAGAGCTGGAGGCAGCTAAAGCCGAGAGGAGGTGGTATGAGGAGGCAGCACGGAGTCGAGGCTGGAAGCCCGTGGGTACCACCCAAAAATTTCTTGGGGGGGGGGCTTAAAGGGAGTGTGGCGAAGTCAGGTAGGAGACCTGCGCCTACTCCCTGGACTGACCGTGGAGAGCGAGAGTACGGGCAGACACTGTGTTACGCAGTAGAGCGCATGGTGTCTCCTGTACGCAGGCATAGCCCGGTTCGGTACATTCCAGCTCCACGTATCGGCCGGGCTAGATTGAGCGTTGAGCCGGATGTCATGAAGCCGGTCCAACGCATCAGGCCACCAGTGCGTCTCCTCGGGCCGGCTTACATGGCACCAGCCTTACGCATGGTGTCCCCGGTTCGCCTACATAGCCCGGTGCGGGTTATTCCTCCTTCCCGTACTGGTCGGGCGACGGGGAGTATACAACCAGGTAAGGTTGGGCAGGCTCAGTGCTCAAGGGAGCCAGTACGCCTGCACGGTCCGGTATTTCCGGCGCCACCTCCCCGCTCCAGCCCAGTACCACCAGTGCCTACACCACGCACCAAGCCTCCTGTGTGTCCCCAGAGTCCTGTGCGTCCTGTTGCTGCTCCCCGCACTAGCCCTGAGATGCGTGTCCTCAGCCCGGGACCACCAGTTCCGGCACCACGCACTAGGCCTTATGTGCGTCCCCAGGGTCCAGCATGCCCTGTTGCTACTCCCCGCACTAGCCCTGAGATGCGTGTCCTCAGCCCGGGACCACCAGTTCCGGCACCACGCACCAGGCCTATAGTGCGTCTCGGCCGGCCAGAGTCGGCCGTCTGCCCAACGGCGCCTGAACTGCCCGTCTGCCCAACGGCGCCTGAACTGCCCGTCTGCCCAACGGCGCCTGAACTGCCCGTCTGCCCAAAGGCGCCTGAACTGCCCGTCTGCCCAAAGGCGCCTGAACTGCCTGTCTGCCCAACGCCGTCTGAACTGTCCGTCTGCCAAGCGCTGCATAAACCGCCCGTCTGCCATGAGCCTTCAGAGCCGTCCGCCAGACCGGAGCCGCTAAAGCCTTCCGCCAGACAGGATCAGCCAGAGCCGTCCGCCAGACCGGAGCCGCTAAAGCCTTCCGCCAGACAGGATCAGCCAGAGCCTTCCGCCAGACAGGATCAGCCAGAGCCTTCCGCCAGACAGGATCAGCCAGAGCCTTCCGCCAGACAGGATCAGCCAGAGCCTTCCGCCAGACAGGATCAGCCAGAGCCTTCCGCCAGACAGGATCAGCCAGAGCCTTCCGCCAGCCATGAGCAGCCAGATCCGTCAGCCTGCCATGAGCAGCCAGATCCGTCAGCCAGCCATGAGCAGCCAGATCCGTCAGCCTGCCATGAGCAGCCAGATCCGTCAGCCAGCCATGAGCAGCCAGATCCGTCAGCCAGCCATGAGCAGCCAGATCCGTCAGCCAGCCATGAGCAGCCAGATCCGTCAGCCAGCCATGAGCCGTCCAGCCAGGATCCGCCAGAGCCAGCCAGCCAGGATCTGCCATTC